AGCTCCTCAGGTGCTGCTGAAGGCCACCCCACTGCCAACCCCAGAGTCAGTGCATCCCTCCCTGCCTGGGTACACGTCCTGGCTCCCCTGCCACAGCTTCCCCCCCCTGCCCCACAGTTCCCAGCCTGCACCCCAGCCCTCTCCCACACAGCAAAACTCGCTGCCCCTGCCTTGCCCACCACCCTGAGCCCTCTCCCTCCTTGCCCACCACCCTGAGCCCTCTCCCTCCTTGCCCACCACCCTGAGCCCTCTCCCTCCTTGCCCACCACCCTGAGCCCTCTCCCTCCTTACCCACCACCCTGAGCCCTCTCCCTCCTTACCCACCACCCTGAGCCCTCTCCCTCCTTACCCACCACCCTGAGCCCTCTCCCTCCTTACCCACCACCCTGAGCCCTCTCCCTCCTTACCCACCACCCTGAGCCCTCTCCCTCCTGCCCAGGATCTCTTGATTATGTTTCCCTTGGGGATTGTAAACAACCCTGAGAAGTCACCTCCACGATGCCCTTAATCTCCATCTCCTGCAGGCTGTGGCTGTTGTTTATGAAGAGCCCTGACAGCCACATTTGTCTGAGGCAGCTCCTGGGCTGTTTAATAAACCCCTGCTGGCTGGGGGATGCTGGAGGCACCAGTGCCAGGGTACAGAGCTGGGGGGACAGGAGCCCCAGCATCCCGGGGTGAGATGCATTGGGCAGGGTGTGGGAGGGTGATGCTTCAGGTGTGGAGCAGGATGGAATCATTTTGGTGGTGCTGGAGGGAAGGAGAAGGGGGTTTGTGTGCAAGTGGCTCTTCTGCAGGCTTTGGTGATGAGGTTTGTACCTCGTGGGAGCTGCCTGGGCTGGAGAGGGCTCTGACTTGAGGGAAGCAGCAGTTCTCTCAGGTGTTGCTCTCCATTTTACAGATGGAGAAATCAAGGTGCAGAGAGGCAAAATGACTTTGCAAGTCACACAGAAAACTTGTAGCAGTGCGAAAACAAGAGCCATGGCACTCACCCTTGTGCTTCTTCTCTTCCCCATGGAACAGGGAAGTTTTGCTTCAGGTTTCACCCTCCTTGCTCAAGACCTCTGAACGTGCCCCTGGGCTGTCTCTGCTGTCTTGCCTGCAGTGTGATCTCTTCCTCCCTGTGAGTGGATGACCCATGACAGTTCAGGCACTGGCTCCAGAAAAGGGTGCTAATCACAGCAGAGATCAGCACATCACTTTCTCTTTCATCACCTCACACAGCTCCTCAGGGAATTGCTTGCAGTTTTTATTTTCCCTCAAGCATCAGAAATCACAGGTTATCAGCATTCACAGGTCATGGCAGTCTGCAAATCCCACACTTTTGGTGGCTGGGAGTGCCTCTGCCTGTCCTTGGGGAGGAGGGTGATGCAGAGGCCAGAAGACCTTCTCATGAGATGCTCCAAGAGCATGTGCAGAGCTGCTCTGACTTCCAGCAATGGGACAAGGCAAGGCCTTCTCATGGGTAGAAACCTGTTGGTGGGAATTCCCCAGCTCTGTCCTCTCCATGCCATGTTTCTCATGACCTCACCCACAGACACTGATACGGTGAGGCTGGAAAGAAGCAGAGCTGGCAAATGGAAAAGTAAACAGCTTTCCAGCCTGGACATATCCCATCCTGGGCAGTGTCACCCTGATGGAGCCTGGCAATGCAGAGGGGCAAAGGGGGTGCCCATGATCAGAGCCTGGCTTGCTCACAGCCTCCCTTGGGGTTCTGATGCTGCTCCCTCCAGCCTTGCATCCCTGCCCTGCACAGCCTTGCCTTGGCCACAGTGGCTGCTCAGCTGCAGAGACAAAGATGGAATAAAGCCCCTGGGTTATGGAGAGACCAGGCTGAGCCCTGTGCAGTATCTGATGTCCTTGACAAAAGCCAGCACCATCTTCACATCCTCAGAGATAAGGAACCTTCTCCATGGCTGCTCCAGCCTCATGCTAAGGGATTCTTTCCTTTCTTCCTGGCCTTCCCAATCACACATTCCTCTCCATATTCCAGATTCTCAGAGGTATGAGGTCTTGGTGGCTCCTGTTTGATTTGATAGGAGCTGGTATCATGGCTTTGCCCCAAGGCAGCTACTGCCTGGTCTGTCCTCTGAGGCCTAATAAGGTCTCAGTGTTCAGGCTGCAAAGGCTGCATAACTCTCAGTTTGCAGTGGCATAAATCAGAGCTGAATCTGGCCTTTGGAGTGCAAGGCCAAGGAGCAGTGATGATGGGGGGGAGGAAGGAGGACGAATCATCCAAGACCTGAGTGCAGCCCTGCCTGGTGAGCGTGGCAGAGATTGGAGAGGAGAGTTCACACTTAGCCAAGTAATTAAAAGTTCTAAGTCAGGCAAGCAGTGAAGGGTTCTGGCCCCTTTCCTTGGGAGATCAAAGCTTGTTTTGGCAGAGACAGTGTTTAAATATATTTATAAGAAGAAGGGGGGGGGGCTCGTCGAGGCAGCCGTGGTGTCTGCAGTCTCCTTGAGGCTGCTTTGATATCCCAGGCAGCCTCATTATGTGCAGAGTGTCAGGGCTCAGCCTCATCCACATGAAATGCTGAGCAGAATCCAACAGGCCCTCACGTTTGCACGCCCACGGCTTCGTGTCTCCTGCCCAGCAAGTTCCTCCAGGCCTGGGGCAGCCCCAGCCCTGCAGGAGCATCTCCTTGGCCCGGGTGTCCCCAGGTGCTGTGGGCACCTCAGGGTGATGCAGGATGGGCTGGGCTGGCACATCCTGCCTGCCCTCTCTGGCCCCAGGGCAGCCAAAACACCTCATCTGTTCAACTCTTCTGGGGGTTTTTGTGTGCTTTTCCCATCCTGTGGTTGTTCCCATCTCCTGCCTGTCCTGTTCCCCTCTGATACCCTGGAATGTTCAGGTTGGCATCTTAGCTCTGGCTTTACATCTGATGCCCTTGCAGGTGAGACTGGCACTAACCTCCCTGGTGGGCTGATGCTTCAGGGAGTGCTGCTGATTTACAGCTTTCAGGGACAGGCTGCTTCTTTAACCAGGATTTTGGGCTTGTTTACCTTTGGGAACCAGCACAAATTCACCCAAACTGTCATTCAAAGTGGATTAGTTGAATGCCTTGCAGTCAGATTTTGAATGTTCTCTGTTGTGTTTTGTTTTTTCTCAGATAATTTGCTTAGGAAGTGAGCAAGTTAAAAAGATTTTATTCAGTTTAATTGATCCATGTTAGTTTTATACCTGTGGTTCATTCAGGGTAAGTTTCCTAACTGTTCCTGCATAGACAGATGGCCAGAAAGGGACAGAGACCAGAGTCCCACAGTGTTCCTGGGAGAAGGAGTGACTCTGTGCCTCATTCTTGCCTTTCTGTCCAAAAAAAGTCCTGGCACTGTTTCAGATGCTCCCAAGCCCAGTGCTATGGGCTGAACCTGTCCCTTAGATACAGGCTGTCTGTTGATTACACCCTGCATCCCTTAGCATGCAGGTCCCCTGGTCCCCCAGTGACCATGGCACAAAATCACATCTTTTCCCAGGTCACTCACCTGCCACTTCCCATCCATCAGAGGAGCAAACTGCAGCCAGGTCCCAGCCCTGCTCACTGCCCCGTGAAAACCAGCCTCCCTCTCCAGCCTTCAGCAGTGAGATCATTGCTGGCTGCCTGGGCACACTGAGATCTGTGCACTGAGATCTGCAGTAGGCAGAGCAGTGGATTGTCTCTGCAGCTCAGGGAAAGGGGCTTGGCAAGGGGCAGGACTTGGTGGTTGAGCCTGGGACATCACAGGTCCTCCCTGGGGAGTTTCCCTGCTGCTTTGTTCCTCTTTGCTCTGTGTCACTGCAGGGTGCAGGGACACATGGAGGACACTGGTGCTTTATGGCAGGGCCCTTGGAGGCATTGCTGACTGGGAGGGTGGCTGCAAAGTTCAGATGAGAGGGGAGGGAGCTGGGAAGGGGACAAAACAGTTGCCCCTGCTTGGTCCCACACTTCTTCAGAGGGAGATGCATCCCTCTCTTGGGGAGGTGACACTTCTCCATCCCAGCATACCTGCTTAGCACTGCCCTCTTTGGAGCAGTCCCTTGGAAACAGCATCTGTGTGAATCAGGAGAATCCACTTTGCTGGGGTCCAGGTGACCTGTGCTGAACTCCTCAGTGTTTTGCTGTGCCCCTGAGTCTCTGCCTGCTAGAATGTTCCTGCCAACCAGCTGCTGATTACAGAGTGAGGAGGTTGAAGTGCAAGCCTCAGACTGGAGACCAGAGGGAGCTCAAAGGCTTATTTTATTTGGATTTCTTGGTCCTTTCAGGGTTTCTTGGGTTTGGTGAGGCTTCACACCTGGAGTCCCAAGAGAAGAGTGATTTTCCTGAGCTGCTTTAGTTTTCAAGAGAGCTTTTGTGCACCTCTGGGTGGTGTGTCTGGCTAAGTGCAGTGGGTTTGGCCAGGAGAGCCTGGAGTGTTTTGTTTTGCAACCTTTAATCCCAAACACCTTCTTCTGAGAAACTGTCACATCCTTGGAGGCAAGTACCCTGTTTCCTGTTAGTTTTGGTGTTTCCTGAAGAAGATGAGGTGCTTGTGAGCTCCCTGGAGCTCTTCTCTTCAAAGCAAGTGCTTCGGGCCTCGGCACTTGTGCTGCCACTGCAGCGTCTCACTCTCCTCTCTCTTTGTCCTCAGACCTGGCTCAAGGGCACCTGCAACTGGGACACCTGGGCAGGGACTTGCGAGCAGACAGCAGCCCCATCTCCCCCCCCGAGGGGGAGGGCCAGTCCCCCACCGCCGTGCGCTACCGCCCCAGCGCCCAGCGCCGCTGCTCCACCGAGGCAAGTGCTGCGGGTGGAGGGGGCAGGAGGGGCAGGGCACGTCCTGGTTGTCACCTGCCTGCTGCCTGGAAGAGCCACTCTTCGAGTCCTGGGACCCTGGCAGTCTCAGGAACGAGCCCTGATGTCCTCTTGGGTGCACTCAGCATGACAAAGCCCAGCGCACGTCCCCTGCACACACACACACACACACACACAGGTCCCACAGATGCCTCCCCCTTTGCTTCACCATGAACAGCCACTCTGGTCAGAGAACACTTCCCCTTGACTGTCTCTGTGCAGCCCTCTCCTCACCTGCTGTCCTGGCCCTCCCTGCAGGATGTCAGCAAGAGGCTCTCCCTGCCCATGGACATCCGCCTGCCCCCCGAGTTCCTGCAGAAGCTGCAGATGGAGAGCCCGGAGTTCCCCAAGCACCTCAGCAGGATGTCCCGACGGGCCTCCCTCGTAAGTGTCACCCTGCAGAGCAGTGCTGGGCACAGCACCTCACTTGATGTGTGCAGCTCCCAGCAGCAGATGCCTGAGCTGGCTGCCACCCACCCAGGCAGTCGAGCCCTGCTGTGCAAGCTCCCGTGTTCCCCACGTGTGTCACTGACACACACACGTGCCCTGCAGATCCCTTTCTGCACACTCCCAGCAGCACAGTCCCCCCCCAGTGCACACAGGCAGCTCTCCCCATGTCACTCCTACACATCCCATCTGCACAGTGCCCTGCAGATCCCCAGCCCTGCACATTCCTTCACTCACCTCTGCACATACCTGACTTTCCTCTTGGCCTGGCTCCTTCCAAACTGGAGGAGGTGGAAATCCTCCAGTGGTTTAGCAGGTGCTGGAGCCTCTGCTAGTTTAAATGCAAATACTGATAAATAATTAATTAGCCTTTGCATCAGCATTGGCATTTCAGTTTCTTTGCTGCAGAGCACCAGCATAGGTAGGAGCAAACACCCAGTGCCCTGTTTACAAACGTGCAAGCACGTGCCTGCTGCCCAGGGGTGCTCAGTGCTGTGCAGATACAGCAGGGAGATCTCAGCAGGTCTCTTCAGCTCTGGCCTGTCTGTTCAGGGGAGGCAGGAGGAAAGGGCAGCTTGCATTTACCTGCCTGCTCTGTCTGATCGATAAAACAGACGCAGCCAGAGCAATGTGCTGTTATTATTCATAGTCCCCAGCATGAGTAAGGCATGTTGCTGCTGCTGCTGCTGCTGCAAAAGAAGTGTGGCTCTGGGGGGTGTGCAGGACCTCAGATTGGAGCAGCCACCTCATTCCCCTGCCCAGGACATGTCTGTTCACCAGGGTCTGGTCAGTGCCTGTTGCAAGGAAAAAGCCTTCCCATAGGGCAGATCTGGTGAGCAGTCAGAGCCCTGGGCACAGTATGGGGGGGCTCCCTAAGTGCCTCCCCCAGGGGGTCCCTTTCCCTGCACAGCCCTGTCCCTGCCCACTGATTGACAGCTGTCCATCCAGCTCCATCTGCTGATGGTGAGTGGTGTGGCATGAGCCCTGGGCTCAGGAGAGGGGCTGGGGGGTCTGTAGCTGGGCTGGACTCAGAGCCAGCTCCTGACCTGGGATTACACCCATGCCAATAGAGTTTGCAGGAGAACAACTCTAGTTTTTTATTTAAGCTTAAGGAGCAAGAATTGGCCCTGGAATCTGGGTCCTGTTGTGCTGGGAACACGTCCAAACAGAGGAGGTTTCTCTGTCCCCACAGAAAACTGTGATTTCAGGGGGCTGCTTGGAGTGACACCTAAACCAGTGGCCTTACAGTGGTTGCCCTTCTTTCGTGGGTACATGAGAGCAGGTCTCAGCAATGCATTGAAGATTTACTGTTCCAAATGGGAAAATGTCCCTTTGGAAGGGGGAGCAGAGGCCAGGAGGTAGGGGCAGCACTCCAGAAAGGGCTGGGCATGGGCAGCAGGATCCCATGAGGACCAGCTGGGCTGTTGCAAACACCTGCCTTGGTACATCTACCCCCAAAGCTGTTCCTGTTCAGTGTCCTTGAACCTTCCCCTGCAGAGGTGAAGGCATCTCTGGGTAAGAGCTCCCCCAGTGACGTTTTCCTTTCTCTCTTACAGTCAGATATTGGGTTCGGGAAGCAGGAAACGTACGTTAAACTGGATAAACTGGGAGAGGTGAGTAGAGTGTGAAACCCCTGTAAGGGTTTAAATGAACTTAGAAGGGCAGCTAGAACTGCAAATGCCTTCCATATCTAGCAATTTTTAGACCAAGCCCTTGCTTCAGCCTTAGCCTTCCAGCTTCAAATGGTCCTTCCTGCAGGTGTGACAGACAAGATGAGGGTTGTGCCACCCTGCTCAGGGCTCTGCATGGCTTGTGTTTTCTCTCTTCCCCCCCGCAGGGCACTTACGCCACGGTCTTCAAGGGGCGCAGCAAGCTCACTGAAAACCTGGTTGCCCTGAAGGAAATCCGCCTGGAGCACGAGGAGGGGGCACCTTGCACGGCCATCCGGGAAGGTGAGGGCAGGAGGGGCTTTTCCCCTTGGCAGCCCCCAGGAACGATGCCAGGTCACGGGTGGGATTTGGGCCGGGTGGTGCAGGTGGATGTTTGGTCCTCCCAGCCCCACCATCCGGGTCCTGCTGCCCCGACCTGCCCCCTCCTTTCCTTGCAGTGTCACTGCTGAAGAACCTGAAACACGCCAACATCGTGACCCTGCACGACATCATCCACACAGAGCGTTCCCTCACCCTCGTCTTCGAGTACCTGGTGGGCCTGGGGGGGCTGTGTGGGGGAGCCTGCTGCAGGCTGGGTGCTGGGGGCCGAGGGAAGGACAGGCTGATGTGTCCTGCTCTTGCAGGACAATGATCTCAAGCAGTACCTCGACAACTGTGGGAACCTGATGAGTGTTCACAATGTGAAGGTAAGACCCTGCAGCCCTGGCTCTCCCTGCATGTGGGGAGATCACCCTGAGGGCACTCCAGGGTGTTGCAGGGCTGGGGGAGGCTGGGTACCCCTTCTCTTCAGTTCAGCCTTCACACTCTACTTTGACCTTTTCCACCTGCTTTTCTCAAATTACTGCCACCCTAAATAAAATGGCAGTGCCTACAGACTTTGTTCAGCCTCTTTTCTGGGTTGCTGAGCACTTGTCTGCAGTGCGTTGCCCCCCAGGCCAGCTTTGAGGGGTCTTTTCCTGGCCACGAGTTTGAGAGACCTTGGGGCAGACTCACTTTTGGTGCCTGTGTCCCTGTCCTAAAAGGCAGCTCCTTCTCCTCCCCACAGATCTTCATGTTCCAGCTGCTGCGTGGTCTGGCTTACTGCCATGGGAGGAAGATCCTGCACCGAGACCTCAAACCCCAGAACCTGCTCATCAACGAGAGAGGAGAGCTCAAGCTGGCTGACTTTGGTAGGTGGACTTCTCTGGGGGAGATGCAGGATCGCAAGGAGATGCAGCTCCTTGATGCCCATCCCTTTGGTCCTCAGGCTTAGCCAGAGCCAAGTCAGTCCCCACCAAAACGTACTCCAACGAGGTGGTCACGCTGTGGTACCGGCCCCCTGACGTCCTGCTGGGATCCACTGAGTACTCCACACCCATCGACATGTGGTGAGCTCCAAAATGAGCTTCCCAGGGTCTCCAAAGGTGGTGGGCTGGGCATTTCCATCCCTCTGCCTGCAGTGTTGGTCACACCAGAGGGTGGTGGGGTCCTCCCGTGGCATTTTCTGTGTCCCCTGGGGCTCAGGGTCTTCAGAGCACACTGTCCATGCCAGGGGTGAATGGTGACCTGTAGCAGAGAAGGGACAGAGCTCCTGGAGCTCATTTCCTTCTCCAGGAGCCTCAAGCCCTGGCCGAGGGGTGGTGGGACATCCTCAGGGCTTCTCCCTCACTGCTCCCTGCTGCTGCTCTAGGGGCGTTGGGTGCATCCACTACGAGATGGTGACGGGGCGGCCCATGTTCCCCGGCTCCACGGTGAAGGAGGAGCTGCATCTCATCTTCAGGCTGCTGGGTGAGCCTTCTTCTGCCTCCCCGACGCCCACGCGAGGGCAGTGGCTGCCTGCAGGAGCCGTGGCAAAGCCCAGAGGGAGCCCGATGGCAAAGCAGAGGGCAGGGGCTGCCCGCAGCCCCCTGGGCTGCCAGGGGGTGATGAGGGGCTCCGGGCTGCCTGCCCGGCGGGTCCCAACCTGCTGGGGAGGTTCCTGCCCTCTTTGCAGGGCAGGGCACTGGCACTCGCCTGTGTCAGGCTGTTCTCTCTGCACCAAATGACAGGTTTCTCTCTCTTCCCCCTCCCAGGAACCCCAACAGAAGACACCTGGCCTGGAATAACATCCAACGCCGAGTTTAAGGCTTACAATTTCATGCAGTACCGAGCTCAGCCGTTGATAAATCACGCCCCAAGGTACCTCCTTGAGCAGGGGCATGGAAGGCATGGTGGGCTGGTTGTAAATGGGATCCTGGGGAGACCAGTTTCATGCTGGTTGTAAATGGGAGCTTGGGGAGACCAGTTTCATTTCGTCCCTGTGCTGGCAGCTCCTGAATGCAGCTGTGCACTGCAGGTCCCAGCTGGCACTTGTCCCTTCCACTGATGGTTGCAGTGTCTCCTGGATGCAATAATGCTCTGTTTTTTATTTCTTCCTTCTCTCAGGCTGGATTCAGAAGGCATTGACTTGCTGATGAACCTCCTTCTGGTGAGTGGTAGAGCAGTCCAGGTGGATGGCAAGGGGATTTGCTGGAGTGAAGGTCCTCTGCTTGCCTTCACACCCCTTTTGGAGCCAGGCAGGAGAGGAGCTGTGGCTGAAGAAGAAGCCATGGCTCCACAGCTGTGGCCTTGTAGACCCTATCCCAAACCACCTCCCATTAAGGACAGTGAACCATCCTTCCTGTGTCCTCTCGCACAAGTGAGGGAGCCCAAACCCAGTGATCCATAAGGTACAACATGGCCAGTGCACTCCTGTGGTCACACACTGTGCTGTCCCCTGTGCACATGCAGCTGGCCCTGGGCATTGCCTGCACACCCCCCTGCTGTGCACGCTGCTTGCACACGCTGTCACCCACAGAGCATAGGAAGTTTCCTGGGCACTTACCCGTGCCCAGGTGTGCACACACCCTGTGCATGGTCCCTGTGCCATCTTGGCTGTGCAGATTGTGTGTAACTGCCTTTCTCTGGGGCTCTGTGCAGTTCGAGGCCAAGGGGCGCATCTCGGCCGAGGCAGCTCTGAGACACCCCTACTTCAAGAGCCTGGGGGAGCGGGTGCATCTCCTGCCTGACAGTAAGTGCACCCAGTCCTGCTGGCCGGGGGGTGTGGGGCAAAGAGCTTCTCTGCAGCCTGGGGTGCTGGTTTGCAGCCAGGTCTCTTCAGACACCTCTTTGCTGCTCCTGCAGCAGGGCGGGGAGGGAGCTGGGTGGCTGTGAGAGCAAGAACCAATTTGGGTGGGACAGTGTAGAGTGGGAGTGGGAGAGAAAGGCTCTGATGAGGTGCAGGGCTGCACTTGGGCACTGCCCTCCCTCCTGCCAGCTCAGCCAGCAGGACCGACCCGTCTCTCTCTGCCCCCTCTGCCTAGATGCCTCCATCTTCTCCCTGAAGGAGATCCAGCTTCACAAGGACCCTGGCCACCGAGGCTCAGTCTTTCAGCAGTCAGGTAGGACTGGGGAAAGTCGTGCTGACCTCCCCCAGATGGTGCCTCTGACCACCTTGGCACTGCACACTCCTAATAACTCCTGCATAGGAAAAAGCCAAACCTCTGCCCCTTGCTCCTGCTTTTAGTCCACAAGTTTCCCCTGGGGCATCCTTGCTTGTCACCTACAGTGGAGCCAAAGTCACTTCTGGGTGCCCTGAGGCACCTCTCCCTGCTCCTTGTGAGCTTGTCACCTCCCAACCCAGAGCACCACAGGGCTCAGCTTCTCTGCAAAGTGCCCTCACCATCCGACCTCTCTGACCCATCTCTTTCTCTCTTCCTCAGCCCGAGGGAAGAACAGGAGGCAAAGTATATTTTAAACTTGGATTTCGTGTTCCTCTTGTCACCATGGAGATCAAAGCACTGAGACAGGAGACGCTCCCACCCGACCCACCGCGGAATTACCGACTCGAGCAGGACGATGCTGAAGCCCTTGGCTGCAGGCTCTCCCCTGCCCATCCCCACAACCACAGCCCCTGGCAGCTGCCCTTGATGGACCTGTGGCCTTTTTTCCCCCCCTCTTGTCTTTTCCGTGTGGCTCCCAGCAGATGAGCTGCCTCCCTCTGTGCAGGAGGAGCCGTGCTGGGCACTGCCTGGGACCCTGTGCTGCCCCAGGGAGCCGCTCACTGCCCGTGGGGGGGTTTGTGAGCAGAGGGTGGTATCTCCAAAGCTGGGCTGTGGATTGCAGGGTTTGGCCCAGAGAGGCGTTTCTGAAAATGTACCTTTGCTCAGACAACCTGCTCTGCCCTCTGTATTTCCTGGGGAGACACTTTGCAGCTACGTTACAAGGTGGGGACATGACCAGCCTGGCACTGGAGAGATGGCGTCCGAAGCACGAAACCCAGGGCAGCCCTCCCTTGCCTCTGCCTACATAACCCCTCTTTCTTTCCTCATCTTTGGTACCTGAATCCTGGCAAGGATGGGGCAGCTGGCAGGCTGGGGCTTCCCATTGCTTTCCCCAGCATCTCCCCCTCCTTGCCACCATGTGTGTTTCCAAACTCAGTCACCTGGCTGCTCCCAGGGATGTCCTGAGCTGAGAGCTAAGTGCTCAACCTGCCTGGGGGGCAGGTGCCTGATTGTAGGGGCTGTTCAGGAGCAGAGCCTTGGCTTTGTGCTGCCTCCCGTTGCTGCTGCAGGTCCTCAGCCCTCTCTGCCATCGTCACAAGGGGCAGGACGTGGTTCCCAGCTGGTGTCTCAGGAGCACATTTCCCCCCAGGTCCTGTGGCTGAGCCCTGCACAACGTGGCAGAGCCCGAGCTGTGCAGGCAGCCTCTCCCAGCCAAAGTGTTGCACACACCCACCTCAGTGCATTTCTACCCGGAGGAAGGGGGAGAGGTGCCAAACCTCCCACAGCTCAGCTGTGAGGACCAGAAATACACCCAGAGAGAAGCAAATCATCCCTCAGACCTCTTTGCCTGGCCTCTACGTTTGCAGCCAACAGCAGATCATACCAGCTCCGGCTCAGATCGATGCTGTGGGACTGAGGTGCCTGCTTAGATCTGAGCATCCTTGGCTGGCCGAGGACTGACTGCTCCTGGTGTCTCTTCTCCTCCATACGCTGCAGGAACGTGCCAAATCCATCCTGAGTGAAGAGGCCCTGCTGCACCTCTCGCCTGCAAGCCTGCAAAACAGCCTGAAACGTCTTCAAGTGTGTGAGCATTGCAAGTCTCTCTACTGTATAATATTCACATCCTTTCCTTGGCTGTCCCAGATGACTAGTCCTCTCGCCCACTGGTCCTCCAGCTCATGGATATGGCCAAGAGACTCTGGACTTGGCAGGTTCTGTGACTGTCACCTGGCACTGGGACTGGGACATGCTGGTGTCTTAACCTGTCGTGCCCCTGGCGTGGGAGGCATTGCTCAGGGGACAGTGTCTCTCCATGCTGCAGGGAACAAGGGTTCCCTTCCCTGCTTTGCTGCCTGGCATTTCTGTAGTCTTCAGGAAATGCAAAGCATGAGGATCAACACAGAGACCCCAGAGCTCCCCAGAGCTTCTAGGGTGGCTCCTCCCTGTGTCCGTGCGACGCAGCCCCCGAGCACCCCCCGGCAGAGCAAGGCTGTTCCTTTGGGTTTGTCCTAGACAAGCATCCAGACGTCTGCATTGTTTGAGGTTTGCCCATCCCTGCTCCCTTCCCTTCCCGGTATGTCCATCATCCAGCAGGCTGAATACTTCATTAATTGTTTCCATTCGATAGGGAAGAGAG